CTATCGTTTGTGTTAAAAAAGACAATTATAAAAAGAAAATTCGATTGAACCAGAAGACAGTAGCGGTGCACAAAAATTTAAGTGCTTATCCCAAAGTAATTATTGTTTTTTGGTCTGTTGTATCTCAGAAGTCCCTCACGCTTCGTCAGCAGCACAACGAGTTACCTACAACAGTTGTCCTCCTCTACGGGATTATAGTAATTGAATTGACCAGAAATCCATTCTTTCTCCTTCACCCAAAAAATTATTCTCATACAAACTAAAAAAAATTTCACACGCCCGTCAAATCCGAATCAGTGAGAAGCACCTAAACTGACTTCTACAAACGAAGCCCGTTACCTTTTCCGCCCACTTATCACTGGTTATCAATGCTCAGCAAGTGCAATTCACACTTTTTCTTCATAGTTTTTACAACTTTGTTATCATCATTGTTAACTTGCTTCCCTCGCTAAAGCAAACAAAAACTCCTTCTCGAACTTCAAAAGATTTGTTTCATAATTTTTACAGGTTAGTAAGTGTGTGCAAAACATACTTCTGATAAAATTTCAAAAAAAAAAAAAAAAAACCTAGTAATTTTCTAAAAATACCTGACCGCTTGAAACATACTCAATGAGCATATAATTCCAAAAATAAGAACTTAAGATGAGAGCCAAAACCAACAAATATATCCCAATCTCAAGTTTTAATGTTTTTTGTGTCTTGCGCTGTAACGAGAGCAGGGTTTGCTTTCCAAAACTGTTAAATGCCTTGTCTGATCTGCAAAAATCACACTGAAATATTCTTTTCTTTCTTTCCTACAATACTCACTAGTAATTACATGACGGCTGCGAAACCTTCAGTGGAAAAACTAGCAGCTCCAAGCCTAAAACTAAAAATTTTCTGGAAAAGGAAGCAAGAATTGCATTAAAATTTCGTAATTGTGTTCAGCGACCTATCATTTGTGGTCAACCAAAAGACAGGTGTATGATGGAACGCTGTTCAAATTTTGTAATATTATTAAATTTAAATCCAATAAAATCACTGCAAAACCTAACTGATTTGCTTTAATGAACTCCCCTTAAAGTCTTATATGCCAACAGCCCAAAAAACAATTTACTAACAGTCCCATACAGCCCAATAATCTTAACTGAAATTTGTCCAATTCAAGTAACACTGATAACTGCGCCAGAAATTCTTCACGTTAATTGAAAAAAGGCAGTGTTTTGCTGCCATACATCTGGCTAGAAACAAAAAAAGGCGCGGACGAAATATGTTACATAAAAATAAATACCGCAGCTAATCGACGGGACATCACCGATACGGAAGCTGCTTTGGTCTCCAAAACTCCAAAAACGGCTAGGGAGCAATAAAACAGCATCACTGATGATGATAACAGTGGTATGAAGCAATGCCTAAAATTGAGCTCAACTGTTCAGGGTGATCTATACAAAACGCAAGGACCGCCTACATAATGCTTACCAAAATGCTGATTTCAATCATCAAACGTCTGGTTCCAGTACTGCATCTTTATGCTTTTCCGTCTAAAACTTCTTAATCAGCCAACAAATTTACCGTTGCAAAAAAGCAACGGAAAATGCTGGAACGTCTTTTTTGTTTTCATACGTAGCAACAAGAAATCCCGAAGTGTAAAAACTTGCTATTTTGCAGAATTAGATGGAAATTTGAACTCTTTGAATTCCATCCCCACCCAACTTGTTCCCGCACCTGTCGAACCATCATGCGCTGCCATCTCGCAATTACATCTAAACACGTTTGCTTGTAAACACCACTAGGATTTTGCTGACAGAAACCATTCACTGGTCGCTTGCATAGCCAGCTTTGCTTCTCCACTCCTGAACAAAGAACACTGCAGAGGCTTACATGTACGGTTATGGCCGCCTTTATCGACCTCATTTTTTCGAAATTGTTCCTTTGTTCTCATACTTTTTCGTTTGTAGAACCTTCCAGCCCCGCTGATACGTTGCGAAATGTGTGCGCAATCGAAATGCAACTGTTGAAAAAAAAAAAGTGGATGGTATACAACTTTACAAAAATGCAACCATAAATTTCAACCGCAGCTCGGGAGCTATGCTCGGGCGAAGGCGGGGGGTGGGGAGTAAGTTCCGCATGATAATTTTTTGGTTTGTCGGAAAGGTTAAATTTTGTGTATTTTTGTAGTCATTTAAAGATTGAAGATTTTTTTTCAATCACTGCTTGTGTTAAGTAAAGAACTTTTGCAGTTCTGGCTTCTGGCCTTTCAAAAAAGAATCAACTCTTTGTTTTACTAGAATCGGTAAAAAGTGGATGAAATGAAGCGGTACGCTATTGTAATAATTTTGGTCATCATAAGTGCTTTTTTCGATTATTGCATGAACAAATTTGATTGGTTTTCTTTATCCGCAATTTGTGCCAAAAATTTTGGTATTACCGTTAGATTTACTGGCATTCTGATGTGCTCAGTTCGATTAGAAGCATCGATAAGTGTTTAAGCCAAAAGCGTTGTCTTTGTTTACGTACTTCTGATTTTTTTCTGATAGTAGAATTTAAAGCTGGATGTCAGTTTTTACAGTTTTTGTTGTTTTTGAAACAAACAGCAGTAATAACAGTAAAAGTCCAAGGTATTCCTCCGGTACTGCTATTTTTTCCAATCCTTTTTCTTCCAGTCTTTCTTGCTGCATTATAGCATTTGCATGATGACCCTTCATTGGAAGAAGCGACCTTCTCTCCATCCCTTTCATAAAAGTACGTAATCAAAAGAAAGAAACGTTAAGCTTTCCTGTTGTACGATAATCTTTGTTAGACCCATGCTAAATTTAACAATCACTATTTTTAGTAAAAAATGAATTTCATTAATCGGCAGCTGTTCTAAGCACCGTTTTTTTGTTAACAAATTTCACACATGTTTTGTTTTGCGTTTGTCAGTAAATTTCATTAACACTTATGCTTCTTTCATTTCTCCCTTGCATTTTGATTTTTAACAACAACCTCCCCTTTGCACTTAAAAGTATACCGACATTAATTTAAACTTCCAAATTTTCAACAGTCACTGCAGTTACAGAAACATTTGCAGTAATAGTTTGAAGGGATGAAAAATGAAAGGAGATAAAACTGAACATCTACCTCGCTATTTTTTTTCCAGAAAAAAAAAAA